CGCCAAAGGTAGTTTCACAGTAGCTAGAGCCATGGGCAGACCCTAACTACTGCGACCTGGTCCGGTCCCGAATAGAAAGGGAAGTTGGACGCCAACGGAGAGGGCCTTGCATTCTGTATGAAATTAACGGAGAATGGATTAGAGCAAGTCGACAGTCGGATGAAGGGTACACATTTAACGTAGCCAGAACAGGTGCCAGAGCATCTTGACCAAGTGCATGCCTGGGCTAGACTTGGGGCTGGTTTACCGGCTTTGATAACTGTGATTGGTCGAGAGCCAGACTCTCACTGGTCCACGCGAGAGACTCGGTGTTGCAGCAGGCGCTGGGGTGTGTGGGGTCACTACAGTAATATGGTTCGGGCAATTGACGGCTTTGTTGGGGGTCTGATAAAAAAGGTATGTTTCACACGACAGGCGGGTGACCTCAGTGAACTCTGAGAAGGAATGGCCGTCTGCTGCTGAAGGGGAACTGAATCTTGGACAAGATTTGCAATTCGAAACCTCAAGTGTGAGAGGGAAGATGGGGGAGAAGCTGAGAAAATCGGAAGTGGAGCAGGTGAGAGTATGGCGAAGCCGCGTGTCCCTTTCGGCCAGCGGGTCACTTAAATGAGTTAGGTGGCCGAAAGAAAGCCAAAATCGGGTGCTAATATGTACTGCGGGCCTGGTGGAAACTTAGCCTTCTTCATCGCCTGACTGTATCGAAAATTAAGAAGAAGCTCGGAGTCTGCAGGTTACTACTCGCCGAAGCCCTTGCGGATGTGAGGCGGGCCCTAGTCTCGACGTAGTCTCTCTATTCCTATTCACGTTGATGATGACTGCTAAACTCCCACAGTCTTGCGTCCTGATCGAGTCCTTCAAACTAAGTTCGCAAATCCGTGTAGGGAACAGGCGATCGTTTTTGGCGGTAGACCGACTGGTCAGTTAACGTTCTGGTCTAAATCACCACCTGAAATATCGGAACAACGATATACTTCTTTCTATGAGCACCTCCTCGTTTGTTTCATAAATATCCTGTCAGTCATCAGCCGCGCGCGTTTCAATCAGCCTTTGGCTCATCGAAGCCGTAATTCCGGTCAATATTTTTGCTCTCACCGACTGGTCGCAGTCGCATAAACACGGGTTCTGACAACCTTTCGCGTAGGTGCCGGCAACTTAAACAGCTGACACGACTGGTGAGAGCGCTTGCTACCACTGCCTCGTGAGTCGCGTGAACATGCTCAAGCTTTAGTAAAGGCTTTTCCAGTAACTCTGTCTTCACTGACTTGTGATTTGCGAAATAGGAAAGTGATGACTTCTTTACGAACATCAGTCCTCCTCCTTGCCAGTTTGAAACATAGTCAGATTATAGCGATGAACAATTTCACACATCTTTGCATTTGCTTCTGGCTTTCTTTCAACCGTTCATCTCACGCACAGATGATCAACCTGTCGATGCAGGCGTCATTGCCAGGCTCTCCCTTCCCACACTTTCCACTTCCCCCGCATATCTTGTTTCACCACAATCGGACTTAATATCACAGATAACAAATCTTCGACAAGAAGTGACTTCTTTTCAGAATCAGGCAGCCTCCGTTTCATCTCGGAGTCGGCAGAAGTAATTTACTTACCAAGTTCATAATGGTTCTTCACTTCGTCCCAGCATAACTATTACATGCTGCTATCATACCGCATTTAGTGACAAGGTCAATCACTGCATCTCTTCGTGTTCCTTTGTCTTGAAGCAGAAGCAACGGGTGAAATGGGTCAGTCCGAAAGTAAGCGCAACCAATCTCTCTGGATCATCTGGCTTTTGTCTCGCTTTCTACGTCCGCAACAGTTTGACTCACAGACAGTTTCTCGTAGACGCCGATCTGCGTGATTTCTTCCATTCCAACCGACCACCACTGTTCTAAAGCTGACACTCACATGCCCAGACTGTCAGCTGTTCCGCGTCCCCACGTCTGTCAGTTGGCCTTTCACATTCAACATTCATCTTTGTCCCTCGTCCTCCTAAATCTTCGCCACTGCTGATGTCCCTAATATAATCCTCGGCTACGACCCTCTAGCCGAATTCTATCTTCTTGCAGACTGAAGGCATGCCAAATTGACCAACCGTTCGACCGTTCTATCCGTCCGCGATTTGTCTCTTTTCACAACTTTACGCAACCTGACTGCTCTATATGCAAATCTGTCTGGCCCCTCTCATGAGCTTCTGCTGCAGAACCCAAAATTATCAGCCATCAATTTCGCAGTTGTGAGGCCCAACATAACTCTGTGCATCACAGTAACATCTCAGGTCGCCTGTGTTCGCTCGTCCAAGACGACTGGCACTGACCCGCCTGAAAGATGCAAAAGTGGATTTCGAGCACGTGCTACAACTCCTTGTTCTTCGGCCCTCAGAGAGTCCGAGGTGGTCCCCACCACCGCATGGTTACACAGATAAAATTCGGGAGTAGACGACCCTCTAGAAACCACTATACACGTAACGACACCGTAATTCCAGGTCGATTCTCACTGGCTCGCGTCTAAGATTACCTTGGTGTCCTTATTAACAAAGTAGTTTTCTCGAAGATCGATATGGTGCATGCCCTCCACCAAATTCATGTCGCATCGAAGATCATTCCTAAAACCATTGTTACTGCTCAATTTGACCTCTCGAATTCTGCGGAATCCCCTGCTGCCTTTGCGATGTCAGCCGGACGTTCCAGAGGCTTATCGACCATGTCTCAGATGACCTGCCATTCATGCACGCCTCCATCGTTGACACCATGGTGGCCAATCGAACTGCTGTTGAACATAAGGAACACCTCAACTTGGTGTTTGACCATCTGGGCAGGTACGGCATCGTTATTAATCCATCCACAAGCATATTCTGTGTATTCTCTCTCCGTTTTGATAATTCTGTCAATCCACAATATGTGCGTCCTCTGCCCTCTGAGGTAGCTGTCCCAGAGGATTTCTCTCTAAGAACATTCAAAGGCCGATTTTAAGTGTTCCTCGGCCTGGTCAGCTTTTACTGCCGGTCACTACCGAGTCCTGTAGACTACATGCAGTTGCTCATCAACATGCTACCTCGTACGTAGAGTTCCCTTGAGCTCGCTGAGGAGGTGCCAACTAATTTTGAGGAAATCAAGACATTCGTGACCAACGCTACCTCATTGACGCAGTCTGCAACCGATGCTCCTGTTTTCGATACTAGACTCTCCGACAGTTGCTGGCAGCGTATTCTTCCACAAAACATCTTGCTGGCTCAATTTTGCCACTGGCTTTCTTCTCCAAGAAACTCCTACCAATCGAATCACGCTACAGTACATCTGTTCGTGAACTACTCGTCATCTACTCAATAATGAATCATTTCTAGACTTCAATGAAAGTTGTTACTTCACTCATTTTACTGGTCACGGGCCGTTGACATTAGCCCTTCAAGCCCACTCAGACAAATTTTATTCAAAACAAATTGCTCAACTGGACCACATCTTACAGTTTACCACCTTCATCTGTCGAATCGGAGACGCGCCTTGCAGACCGGTTACCGGTGCGGAATCAGGTTTAGGATCAACGATTAGAATTACGGAACCAGCCGTGACAAGTTTTACAGTTAGGATTGGGGTACGGGCTAGTTCAGCATAAGGATTTGTGGATAAGGTTAGTGTTGTGTTTTAGCACTAGGACTAAACAACGGAGTTTGGGGAGATTGGTTGGGATTTGCGATTAGGTTTACGGCTTGACTTTACTGTCAGGATTACGGTGAATAAATAACCCGATAATTAGTTCAAGAATGAGCGATATCGAAATGGACAAGACTGCTGCATTAACTTTTACCACAAGGACGTAGTCGAAGCAGATAATTAAACAAATAACCACTTATTTAAGTAGCTGTGCGAGTTAAATGACGCAACGCTCTGATTCGCTGCGTATTGGAGTTTTGCGACACTGGTATTATACCGGGTTCAGTTTAGGGCTAGGGTTAGTGTCAAGGTTAGGACTGAGTTTGGTTTTAGGGTTAGGACAGGGGTTAGTGTTACGGTTGATGTCAGGACTAAGGTTAGGTTACAGATCAGGGCTAGGGGTAGGATTGGGTTTATTGTTAATGTTAAGTTTGGAGTCAGGGTTGTCTTTGGGGTAACTTTTAATGTCGGGACTAAGGCTTGAGTCATGGCTGGGTTTAGGGTTAGGATTATTGTTAACTATGAGGTTAGTATTAATGATAGGTTTAGGGTTAATATTAGGGTTATGAGTAAGTTTAGGTGTAGGCTCAGGCTTAGGGTGCGAGTAAAGTTCAGGGTTAGAGTCAGAATAAATGGTAACGTTAGCTGTATGTTTATGTTTAAGGTCAGGGTTTAGGGCTGATTTTCGTGTTAATGTTAAGGTTAGTGTTTAAAGTTAGCTGGGGTGTAGGGGTGTCCAGCGCTGGGTTCACGCGACGGTCGTAGTAGGTCGCTCACTTGCTTGCAGGTGCAGATTACGCCTAGCATTTATCTGCTGGCACCCAACTCTCACATGTGACTCCCCAAGGCTAGGGTCTGCCTAGCGGCCACAGCCCGGCAACCGCCCCGACCGGCAAGCTAAACCAGGTGGGGGTGTCCGTGTGTGAAGTTGTGTGATTCGCTGGCCGGATGGATCTTCGCATAGGCATAGTCGAGACGAGGCTCCGTCTGGTACACCGCATGAGGTCAAAAGCTTAAGGCGATGTCGTAGGCCCTCCAGGCTAACTCGGGTCGTTCTTCCATTATACCAAAGACGTGGCCTATAGTGGAGTTCGCAACCGCCTGAGACAGCTGAGCAGCCCTATGTAGGGTGGCACTGCTCACCTCCGCAAGGGGAAATAGACCGGAAAAAGTGCCCTAAACAAATGCTGGAGAACAACGCCGAATGCAGGTTGAACGTGGTCGAAGACGACAAACTCATGGTCGAAACAACCAACGAAGAAACAACAACGACACTCGCTCTCATCCACTTCCTTCTCCTCCATTCCGCCGCCCCACTCGCCAGACTAGTATGGTGGGCCCGCTCACTCTGGCAGTCTGGAATGTTCGGTCTTGCTATCATCTGCGAGCATGGCCCAATCACAGTCCAACTCACCTATGCAATCACCAATGAACAAGAAAAAGATGGTCGTTCCGAGCACTAAGCCCTGTAAGACACTCCTCTCTATGACCGTGAGCCTTGAACGCTGTCGCCCCACGCAGACCATTTGGGAACGGCCGATAAGGCTATTCCCGATCCATGGAAGATTTTTTGCCCCCGATGTCTATAACGCTCAACCTGTAAAGACTGTGGTGTGGAACACCGTCGAACGCTTCCGGAAATCGATGTAGGCTACATGCACCGTGTGTTTTGTCGAATGCTCTTATCCAGCTCTGCATTATGCATAGAAAGTTCGTTATACATGAGCTTCCCCTGCGAAAACCGTATTGTGCATAGGATCAGAAATTTGGGGTTTCCAAATAAGCCATAAACTCCCTTTTGGTAGTTATCTTAATGAATTTGCTGCAGATTGATGTCAGACTGACGGCTCTGTAATTCATCGACTACCGCTTTTGCAAATTGGTGAAACGTGGGCCGTCCATGGGGAGGATTCCATCGTCAAGCTACACCTGGAACAGGAAGGTGACGCTTTAGTCAATTCTCGAGCAAGTTCAGAGAGCAGCTTTGAGGGGATCCCGTCCGGACCGTGGGATTTACATTCCTTCAAGCTTTTTAGTTCTTTGAAAATCGCTTCTTCTCAAAATGCAATACTTTTAATGATCGGATCGTCCATGCTCTCAGCATTAGGCGCAATGGAACCCGATTGATTGTGAGAACGGTTCGAAAAAACTGGGAATAATGCTCAACTTTATTTGTCCTGTCCGATGTCTGCAAACTGTCAGCATTCCTCATGACAGGAATCGGATTCCTGTCAACGATGCTCTTTCTCAAGAAGCGGTGGGCAACTTTGGATTTTTTACAACTCAGTGGAGCAAACTACTGTCGAAATTTCGTCGTCTCTTGCAAGTCAATCTTTTCCCCATGTTTCTTTGAACATTATATTCTGTAATGGCCGCATTGTCGTAATTTTCAGGAATTTCCTTCCACAGCCTTCCTTTCTTGTGGATCTCATTTTGCAGATCTTATGTCAGCCACTGAGGACGGCTGGTATTCCTATGCTTTCATAATGGACATCAACTTTTCACTAGATACACTAACCAGCCCTTAAATGAATTCCCGTCCCTGTTATGTTCCCGGAGAAGAGAACATCCCAGTCCGTTTGTGATGCTTCAGCTCCCATTTGGCAAAAGTCCCCTCGCCATATATTTGGCGTAGTCTCCCTTATTGCATACGGCGCGGAATCTAATTCGTAATCCTGTAGAAGTACTGCACGATCACCTTGACCAACCAACAGAGCAAAAAGCAAATCTCACCCTGGCTTTAAATGAAGACAGAGTGTGACCCTAAAACTAAACCCGATCCTTAACTCCAGCCCGAATCCGAACCCTAAAACTAAACCCTAAAACTAACTGTAAGCCGAAAACTTACCATAAGCCTAATGCTAATCTTACTACTATAACTAACCCTTACTTTAACCAAAACGCTACCCTCAACCCGGGACGTAACCATGGCTATAGCAAAATCCCTTTACCTAACCCAGGTTAGTTTAGGCCTAAAATTGACACTAAACTTAGCTCAAGCCCAACCCTCGCCCTAACGCTAAATGTAGCACTAACCCTCGCACTAACCCTGAAATAACGCTGAACATAACCCGTAGTCCAAATCCTTGTCCTAAACCTAGTTTCTGACGCAAATCTTACCTATAAATCTAAACCTAGTCCTAAACCTTACATCAACTCTGAAACTAAACCAACTCCGAACCCTAAACCAAACCCTAACCGACATTTCGACCGTCGAGTTCGAAGATGTCCGCCGACTGCGGAGTACGAGCTCATCGTAGTCAGCTTTGGAAAATACGGTAAGTTTGCCGATCCAGCCCTAGTGCAAAATCGCCCGTAGACTGCTTCGGTGCTTGATGTAGGATGATAAATCGCTCGTTAGCAGCACCGACCATTAATTAGTTATGAAACAGTTAAATGAGAGTGTCGTTCACGGTGGGGATAGAGGTTTTAATCGGCATGCCGGGGGGCAAGTGCCACCTTACGTGTAATAGGTGACCGGAAGTATAACGCATACCGACCGTGGTCAAGCGGAGGAACGTCAGCGAGAAAAAAAACAGCTGAACTAGTAAAACTCAAAAGTAGTAGGAGGGGATCAGGACACTGAGCTAATAGTTGGTGAGTTAGACAGTGTGTATTTACTGTCAGGAGAGTCAAAATAAGGGGTAGACAGAGTCCCGCACCTACTGCTATCAATGTAACGTCCTGCCTACTCACCGTCAGGTATATCTGATTGGCGTTGTCTGGATATGATGCCTCGGCAAGTCCTGTGACTCGTTTATTGGCGTATTCTCTTCCTGAGACAGTCGCTCCGGGGTCTCCTTTGACGACATTGTGGTCACTAGCGATCACCCGCGCAATCACTGGTGGGGAAATGTGAAACGCGACAAAAGTTTACTAATCAAACAGTATCGACGGAAAGCGTAAGAGATCGTAAGAAAAAGCGGATAGTGCAATCGAAAGGGGGCCAAGGCATATCGTCTGCGTGCAAATGGGGCAATTGTTCGGAACCCACTTCCGAGGAATGGGCTTGCTTGTCGGTACCTCGGGCGTTGACCACTGTCATCGTAGGTTTGAAATCGAAAACAAAAGTTTGAGTCATGAAATTAAAATTAACCGCTTGAATTTAACCAAACGGTTATGGGGATGTAACCACTGTTTTTCTGATTTTGGCTGAGTCACACTAGACTCCTAGCGTGTTGCATTTTATCAACGGACGGCACGGTATCGCGCTAACCAACTTCCTACTTTAATTGCACTTTATATTACAACGTTGTCCTATACAGCAGTTTGCGACCTCGACCACCATCATGGTTTGTCCTCGGTTTTATTCTACCTTTCTGTGTCATGTTTAATCTTGCCTAGTTGTCTATTAGTTAAACCTACTCTTATGGTCTGGAGGCCCCATAAATGCCTAAGAGAATTGATGTCCGGACACCTTGTACTAAAGGACGCCTTCTGGACGTCATCGCCGCTCCTTCATCATCTCTTTGCTGCCAACACCACCAAGGCTCGCCTCCAAACTGTTCTGTGTCGGCCATAGGCTTCCCCGTGTACAAGATCCTGTCTGAACTCCAACCCTTCCATCCATCGTAATAAATAACGGCCAACATTCCCTTAATAACCCAACTTCTCTTCTCAGTGAGCATGTATTTCGGTCAGAACAAGAAGAGACTACACACTTAACGTTCCCAGTCATGATTGTAGTCAAGCTCGTTACAAACTCACCGTCCCGACGATTCAAACAAGACCTCCATTAGTTTTATTGGAGCACTACAGGCGGTTTCGTCTTTTGGGTTGTCTTTCCTTGGGTCGTTCGGTGGCTGCCTGTAAATGTGTTTCGTTTTATTCCGACTTCCTTTTTGGGTCCTCTTATAAGTGCAAAAGAACTCATATCTCCAAACAGAGTTGGGTAATTTTGACGATGTGGATATAGGCACTTAACGGCTGTAATATATGCTCTTGCCACTAGGGCTATGGCCAACACCCTAATTATCGGAAAATACAATGCATACGATGCCATGCAGAAGCTGTAGTATTTCCACAAATAATTACGGAGATGCCACTCTTACATTAGCCAACAGTATAGCCAGACTTTTCGTAGAACGCGTCGGCCTACTTCCACTCCAGCGCTGATTTTCATATGAAAAGTGTAATTAGCGTAGCCATTAGAAATGCGAGCGGAACCTTTGACTGGTGAAGAAATCTTGTTTTTGCCTCTGACTAGTATCTGCTTCCCAAAACCTTCGGATTTCCACAAATTTCTCAATTCCCTAACTATTCACAAGGTATTTAGTCAAGTAGTTTGTCGTCTGCTCACAGGCAGTTGGCTCTCGACAGCCTCCTAATTGGTCCGTATCGTCTATTCCAAAAAAATAATGCTCTACTCTACCATGAGGCTTAGTGAAACTAGTTAGTTGTTCGGGCAAACAAGACAGTATCTAAGGGGTTTATCTTGCCCAAACAGTATTTGCCTTAGACCGCTGATACAGATAGGCCATCTGCAGATGCCATGGCAATATCCAGGAGACTAACCGGTCTACTGTCAATGAAAGAAGCCACGTTTTAGGGCGCGTTTGCTATAGCAAGGTTTCTACGTGGTCAAAGGAACAATATTGCCTCTGACTTCTCAGTTAACAACCAGTAGTTAGGCTTTGTAGGATCTTCATTCGATCAGGTCTTTGATTTTTAAATTTTCGTTTTCATAAACTGTGTGTGTTTTTTCTAAAATTCGGAATCTGTCCGACTTTTATCTGCCACCTAACACCTTCAAAAATACATTTCACATTCCTTGATGGCGGAACATATCTGCTAGCCTAGCACTTCCTGGACAACGCATCCACAGGTGACAGCATAATGGTCCTCATCGGGAACTGACTGCAAATTAAAGGAAAGAGTCGTGTCTGTTAAATGAGCAACCGTATATCAGCGGCGATGGCATGATCAGGATGCGAACGGTTCAGGTCTGACTAGTCGTCTACCATGTAGGGCACCACAGAGTCTGATAACGTCAGTTTACCGGAGGAAATTCGAATTAGTACCATATCTTTTATTCTATACTTCTGCCTTGCCCACTTTATATCCACCCAAATACTGATTTGAAGAATAGACGACCTAATATTACCAAGCCTCTGCATAAAAACATGGATTTTATAGTAATTACCCTGGTTTCCTGATACGGCGCCAGTGGTAACTCCCATTCCCAGACTTCTCTAGGTAGGCCGAATGACAAATATTTGACGCGTTCTCTATGCGAGGGAAAGAAATGAATACCACAAATTGAAGTGTAAACAGTCCCCGTGCACTGAAATCGCAACGTGAACATTAACGCCGTACAATGCGGCTATGGCGGTTTTTTTCATGGGCGTGCGTACTAGGCTACGAGAAGTGTTTTCTCTGCAGTTTTCCCAACAGTTTCATCGAAACCTGGTGTGTGTAGTGCTACAATCGCTCTGAGTGGTCAATAGAAATCCTTATTAGTACGCGAGGGATCGGAGTGGATATGCAAATCTTCGTTTTATTATTGTTAACGCCATTGTCGTTGCGCTATACGTACCGCCACTCTTTACAAATGCTGGACATCAGGGGGCTGTACGCGGCGAACCCTAGACTAATTATGCACGTCCCAATGTGTGGAAAGTACTAGGCCTGATCTGACTTTAACATTAGAATTCAATCCTATGTGAGATCACCCCACTGATCAGTTGGGCGCTAGCCGCTCGCTCTCGCGGTTACTCAAACCACGGGTTTGCGCGACTAGACTGGGTCCCCGTCACGAACGATGACAAAACCTGCGTGAATGACGAGAGCAGCGGTTTATTCGATGTAACTCCCGGCATCCGTTTTGTTCACCTACTCGATGGACTGACTCTTTGGTACGTGTCAGTTGACCGCCCTAGTGCACCACCGTGGTTCGAACTTTCTGCCAAGCGAGTAGGTTTCGGAAGAAACCGACCGACTGTTCGCAGTCTTAGACGGAAGCGGACGCCACGTCGGCTACTGTTCCCAATCCCATCAATAGTCCGACATAATGAAAGGTTCAGACAGTTTATTAGTTCATGGATGAGGAATGTATCGTCATAGCAAATCGGCGCATACCTCACTACACGCGTAGGACTGTCCTGAAGGTCGCACACAGAATCAATGCGGCCGACAAACGCATGCTGTTAGCTAATGCGCTCCCCGTTCTGGTCAAGCGTAACTGCGGTGCAGTCTCTAAAGGGGGAAGATTGGATACATTTAGTGGCGAGATCACAGCAACTTCCAGAGAGGGCATTTTGTAGGAATCAGTGTTCATAAGTCGTCACTTGAGAGTGTAAAATCTTTCGGCAGTTAGATTTGATAATTTTTGTTTTATAAAACCTTGCCTCTCTCCTGCGTATTTTGCTCTCCTAGATGCTTTCTTCACATATCCTATTACAAATGTTATTATTTTTCTACACGTGAATTATCAGCCATCAAACTATCAAAACATAAAAGTATTAATGTCCTTAAAAAAAACTACAAATATAAACAGACAGTAAACAGATATAACAATAAAATAGATCAGCCAGACATCTCAGAAGTCCTTAAATTTGCTATTTTGCGTCAACTTTCATCTAGTCTTTTCTAGAGATCTTAGTTTTATGTGAGGTGCATGCCACTTAAGTAGTGTTGTTTGTAAATTGAGTCGATAGGGATGGCCGGAAAATTCAACGCTTACCGATGTATGGGTTATCCCGAGATTATGCTCCACACTTATCAGTTGTTTTCTATATGGTAGTGGTCAGTAGCACAGCGCGATCGTTCGGTTGCAATTCATGAGCCCCGCCTTTGCCTAGTGTACTTTTGAGGGCCGAACTGTAACATATGAGTAATCAGATTCATTCTGCAAGTCTTGCATGGAAGTATTGTTTTCGCCTTTCCGAAGGGGCGATCGCCATTAGTCGCTTCTGTTGTTTTTTTTTTAACTTATTATGAAGCCACACATTATGTTGATTTGTTGCACCCACCTCAAATTAAAGGAAAATTTGCCCTAACTTCACTCTTGGTCTCTGTTGCAGGTCTCTCTTCGAGTTTCGTGCTGCAGTAAAAATGTCTATGTTACTTAGACAGGTAAGTGGTTTTTTCTGGTCATAACCGGCGTCCAGGGATATCGTTTAGTTTTCAGTGACGTTCGTTTTCGTCCCCCTGGTCAACTGGCTTGGGCAAGCCTTAAGACACGACCACCTGCCATTCAAAAAATTTACGACAAATTAGAGCACCTCGAGGAGTCAATAGACCAAGAGGCGAAGCCTGGTGCTAACCTGCCTTTTAGTGTGGAGAAGCCCCGTGCCCTGGCCTTGAAAATTATTCTTTTCATTGGGATTGCTTTCAACATGCCCTTTTACATCATCTACCGACACATGCGTAAAGCCGCTGCGACATGAGTCTTCGCTGTTTTTTTTACTCACAACTCAGGTTGCAATTTCTAACTCGTCATTGCTTTGCAAATAGATGAATAGCCCCCATCTGCTTTCGTATTCTTCTTTTACCCATGGGCAACGTCATTAATTATGATGACTCACGTGGCTAAAACAGTGTGGATGCAACCGCCCGAAACTGCCTATGTCTGACATCTTAAAAGTTCGTCGAGATGTGTTAATGTGCTACTCGCGGTGAGCGTTCGATGTGGATTGTGGCGTGATCGCGTTTGATGTGTAGTGTTGCGTAACGTGGTGTAATGAATGCAGTGCCGCTGTGGTAAGCGTCGAGACCTGGGGTGTATCCGGGCGAAGTCCTTACAAACGCGGATTTTAATGCTAGCAGCAACTATATAGGGGAAACCTTAAAGCCGAGGCGGAAAATGGCTGAATAAAGATATCATTTGTCCGTGAGTCGGACGGTTCCAAGTATTTCGACGGCGCCGCACAGAGATGTGTCTTGCTCCGAGTTCGTAAGTCTGGCCTCCTCGAGTCAAGAGGGAGTCTGCTTACCACCGCGTGCTTCGCTTACGAAGACGTGCGAATGTTTGAATGGACTGTCAATACATATATTGGAGTGCGCGTGGCTGACCAATTTGTGGTTCCCGTTGAGCACGGTGGCTCAGCTCGCGGAAGAATTCTCTTCCTAACGAGTGCTTCTGCCCCTGGAGTCGAGTTGTGAGACATGTGTTGGACCTCCGAAAAAAGTCCTCTGCCCCACCACTCCCCGGAACACTGAATTGTCCCCAAAATCGGGGGAACGTCAGGATTTCCATGGCTGGTCGTGCCTGCATTTACAGCGGACTCCCAAGATGAACAGCCACAGGCAGCGGTGTAATACTAATAGAAGGGATCCGCACACTTGGTTTACAACCTCGTAAAGAAGATTGACTTTAGAAACTGACCTAGAGACGCTGGATAAAGGGGTTTCTGGGAGCCTGCGACTGTCTATTTGGGAAGTTAGAACGGTTGTCCGACCCGCTGTACTGTCCTTTTTGCGCCTTTGTTGCTCTGAGGGGTCGGCTGTGGGGCTCGGAGGTCGGTTGGTTGTGTTCTGTTTGTGGATGCACTCCCATCGCTTTCGACCAAGGCAGAACCACACCGACTCTTGACATACCTTGGGCGGATTGCGCTAAAACTACGCCAATCCTGAACTGTTGGTTGAGTTGTTGGCGCGCATTAGATGTCTGCCCAGGCCGCCAGTTCATGGAACATAAGACTGAGAGACCGCTACTGAATTAAGCCCCACGACAGCTCAATGCGATCCTCACCGAAATAAACACAACGCAGTCGAAACCACCATGATGTACTGAATTTTGACTTGACAGATTGTCAACTGATGGTATGACTATCTCCCCGAAATGAGGGACAGTGCAGCCGGTCTGCAGAGTAGTCCTGCTCGAGCAGGAAGCCGAAACGTCAGGCTAATAAAGCCCTTGTTCCAGCGATCGTGTCTCCTTCTTCAACATCCAAGGAGGCGCGACACAGGCATAGCAAATAACATTTGATGGAGCAGCCTAATGAAGACACCAAGAAGGTTAGCACGACGATCGCAAGGGGGGACGGGTTGCCCGTTAGGCTAGTTGCAGGCTGCCCGGCGCGTCCACAGGTGGCGGATGGTGGAGCGGCTTTCGGTGAAGATTAGCTGCTAAATAAGCAGACCGAGATGTGACGAATAAGCTGTTGCGGACCAGCAGCGACAGTGCTACCAGGGTGCGGAGGGCTGAGGTACGGCACGCTGGAAGCCTTGTAAGAAAGCCATAAAACCCGATAACGGCATTGTGACATGGTGATCGCAGACCGCCATTAGATAAGTTTGCTTGCCACCGCTGCTTTGTAGCTAGGCTTCTAAGCCAAAGCGCTAGAGGAGACAACCACGAACAAACAATACAAGCGGCTGTTGGGGACCCGCCTGTATCCGGAATTCCCAAGAAACCTCATGAAATATGTCAGTCTACAGTATTACGACCCATGCCACGGCGTCCGCGGGAGCCGACGCGCTTCGCAACCCTGGTCCAGTGTTGCGGGCGGATAATATGCGAGCTGGACCACTCAGTCTGGGACGGACTCTTGGCACTGGATGCTGCCATGTGCGAACTTTCCTGGACCCCGGCACCCAAAGTCTGCGCGCGAGCAGCCTTAATCAGTACAACGTGGATGTATGCTGTCTGTCTGAAGTTCGACTTCCGGACTGAGGCTCTCGATAAATAAAGATCCCTGGAGTCGAATCACAGTGGCCCGCGCGACTCTTCTGATAGACAAGTGGATCTCGCGCTATCTGCTTGGAAACCAGTCAATGATCGGATGGCCTACGTGCAACTGAATGGCTACTTCACGAACACTTCAATCGTCTCTGTGTACGCGCCAACTTCAGCTGTCGATAAAGAATCGTTTTACTCGCAGTTGCAAACGTTATTTGAAATACTCCCTCTCTGCTACCTGCTGATTGTTGCCGTGGGTTGGAATGTCCGGACTGGACCTGGAGACACCACAAACAGTCATCTTGGTGGCTTTGGGCTTGGCTCCCTCTGTGGAAATGGCGAGAGATTGCTGAACTTCGCTGTTCAGAATGGACTGCTTGTCACAAGCACGTGTTTCCAGCATCGCAAAAAACATCTGCTGACTTGGTATTCAAACGACGATCATACGGTCAGTCAGACTGACTACATAATAGTCAGCTCAAGGTTCCGCAGCGGGGTTCACGATAGCAGATCGACACGTGGTGCCGAGACTGTTAGCGCTCATGGTCGGACCATGTCCTCGTTTGTACACGCTTGAAATTTCACCTCTCATCCGCGACAAAAATGCCATGTCCTAGACGCATCGATGTCGCAAAAATCCGGCAAACCAGCACTGACGAGGCCCTGAGCAGGTAAATCCAGTCCTGTTCTACGACCCGAGCCGACGGAGAAGGCAGTAACCAGTGGTCGTCACTGAAGACGTCAGTCTATGGGGCAGCTGAGAAAATCCTTGGATATACCCAGCGACGCCGCAGTGACTGTATCAGCGGAAGAATCCTGCACATGTCTACTGAGACGGCTTGATCCAGGTCTCGTAATGATGATTCCTTCCACCAACTTCAAAAGATGACATTAAAATTGGCCAGGGTTGGCCAGAAGCAATATTAGGCCGAACTGACGACCTCCGTGTAACAGGCCTCGAACATTGGCGACACTAAAAAAACTCTACCAACTTACCCGTCAAGTTCGGGATAAGTCCTTTACACTGAGCGACTCTGTTCGCGACGTGAATGGCGGCTTTATCGTTGACAACTCGGCCAAAGTCGAGCGCTGGCGTGAGCACTTTGAGCACCATCACAATTTCGATACCCAACCCACCTCGTCCTTGTTCTCCTCTGCAGCGGAGTTTCTTCCCCCCAACCTATTCAGTGCCATGCGACCCCCCTTCTGAAGGAGAAGTCGCTGATGCCATACGAAGGTTACACATCAACAAGGCACCCAGAGAGGACGGTACACTTGCTGAAATCCACAGGTCTTGTGTCGACAATCTGGCGCCCTGGCTCCATGAGGTGATTGAACCAGCGTGGGGAGACGCGGTTGTTTCTGATGACTGGGGCTTAGAAATCCTTGTACCTATCCCCAAGGAGATAAGATACGGGAGACCAGATACGGGAACTACCGCGGCACAAGCCTCATCGATGTTGCTGCGAATATCTTCATTATTATCATACTCAAGCGATTCCAGGCTGTGCGTGGCTCTAGGACGAGGCCGGACCAAGCCGGATTTCGTGCTGCGCGTGGTTGCGAGGACCAGGTACTCACACTAAGACGCATTCTCGAATTTCGCCATAGCTACCAGCAACTGACGGCCGTCTGCTTTGTTCACTTTGCCGTCGCGTTGAATTCCGTCCATCGTGAGTCCCTATGGCAGATAGTGACATTAGATAGTGTGCCGCCAAAAATCATCGCCATGCTCAAAGCCTATTACTGTTCCACAACTGCGAGAGTTCTGGTCCACAATAATCCTTCCCAACCGTTCGGTATTCGGTCTGGCGTTCGACAGGCTTGTAACCTGTCGTCTATTCTCTTCAACTATGCTATTGACTGGATCCTCGGGAGGGCCCTACACGAAGGTGATGGTGTTGAATTTGCACCCGGACACCGACTGACTGATCTCGACTATGCCGATGATAGTGCCTTGCTTGCTTCAAGTTTTGGTGATCTGCATGCTATGGTGTCACGGGTGAATTATGTCGCTAAATCGGTCGGCTTATCCATAAACGCTGGGAAGACTAGTATTTTCAAAGTGCATCCCTGACCAGGAGAGGGCACCCTTCGAGATTGACGGTTGCGAACTAGAAGAAGTAGACGGTGTAAAATGCCTCGGGGCGAGGCTGCTGCCTAATGGACAGAGTAAGGATGACATTGTCGCCAGAAATGATGCTGCCTGACAGGTCTTCTCAAGCCTTAGAAAATGCCTATGGATCCGACTCGACCTCTCCAGCGCCACAGAGATCTGCGTGTACCGTGCGTCTGTCCGGTCTGTCCTTCTTTATGGTTGTGAATGCTAAACTGTGCGCGTGGAGAACGAGCGAAAACTGGAGGTATTTCACCACCACTGCTTGAGGACCACTCTTCCAGTGAAGTATACCGACTTCGTCTCAAATGAGACAGTCCGCGCTATTTGCGACATCGCAAGAAAAACTCAGGTCATCCAAGAAAGGCGGTTGAGGTGGTTTGGACATGTTTTTCGTCGTCCACCTCAGAAGTTCAGTGTTACTGCCCTCTATCCGGCACCGTTACCCCACTGGAGGCGTCGATGAGAGGGTCAACTCAAAGTCTGTTTCGACGCAGTTCGTCATAACATGGAGTTGCTTCTTGGACCTTCTGGATTGAACTGTCTAGATCTGCTGCCGCGGATCGTCACTCATGGAGAGGTACAGTTCGGGACATCATCGAGTCTGGCTAAATCAGACATGATCGCAGCCGTACCAAGTGCAAGTAAGT